AAAACTAGCCTAGCTATTACTAGCTCGCGAATTAAGCAGCTAGGAGAGAGAGAATGGCTAAGCCAACTTGAACAGTATAGGAAAAAAGACTACTAGCAAGAATCCACAAACGTACGCAGCAAAATACAAGTGGAAGATAAGAAAGCAAATCGCTATTCCTAGCAACACTAGAAGAGAGATTTCTAGCGCTTTCTACTAACTTAAACTAGGGCACTATTACCTAAGGGACTACCTATATAAGAGAGGGAAAGTGGATTCTAATAGTTGCCCCTGCAACTATAGGTCTATACAAGACCTATCTCATATTCTATTTAGATGTAATCTATATAGAGAGGAAAGGAAAGGACTAAGAGAAGCCTGCGAAGGCGATCTATCACTACCTATCCTCCTTTAAACAAAAGAGGGTATAGAAGCAACTATCACCTTTATTCAAGAAACAAAGGCTGGAACACAAGCCTGGTACAAGGGAAACACAGAAAACGAGGAGTAATACCTGTAACAGGTAGCCATACACCTCCCCCACCCTATCCTACCCCCTACCTACTAACTAATAGGCTATAAGCCTTACCTTTATCTAGTTAAAACCCCTCCTAAATATTGTAGCTAGAAACAACCTACTTAGATACTTGTAGGCTTAAAAACCCTACACGTCTTATATAGCCCTTTGGGCTGAAAAAGGACGTTAAACTAGAATAATAATAATAATAAAAAGCTGACACCAAGGGCGTATAGCCGAAGGTTGCGCTTTGTGCTTTATAAGCGACCTTCTCATTTCAATGTGATAAAGACTATACAGAATATGTCAGCGGCAGATCGGCACCGCGGAACCTCCCTTGCACAGCAGCCCGGGCACTAATGTGAACACTACCCTCGACTTTAAGTACTTATGCAGCCTACTTCGATACTCTGAGCGTCTTGGCGTCGACGTCGTACACTGGCCCCTGATTGTATCTCACCGTCTTTCCGGCTAATCCATAAACAGCAGTCTCATGACGGCTATCCATGTTTTGTCTTCAATTCTGCTTAGAAATCGTGGCCATAACCCAAAACAAAGCTGTTGATTGGTTGAATGTTGTTGGTGGACAATTGATGAACTTTCGAGACTGCAAAAGATGCACCCCTTTTGACTTATATAAGTTGCTTGCAACAGAATTGCTGTATTTATTTCCATATCCAATTTGACTGTACCATGAAACTTCATAGCACGCAGCAACTCTGTTTTTTTAATAGTCTTAGTGTCTCTATTAGCTTTCTCCCAGGATGCCTCCCGAACCCGAGCACGCACCGAGTCCGCACTCGACCCAACGATCCACGTCACCAACAACACTAGAAAATGGCCGTAAAGACGATGAGAAGTCAGGATCTGACGGTGAGCTGCCGCAAGGCGGCCATGACGCGGAAACGGGGCAGAAAGAGAGAACCATCCGTGGTCCTGTTTGGTTCATCATTTGCATTTCTCTCTATGTAACATGCTTCCTCTACGGCCTCGACACAACAATAGCAGCAGATATCCAGGGTCCCGTCATCCAGGCCTTTGGCAAGATCGAGCAGTTTCCTTGGATTGGAGCCGGTTTTCCTCTGGGGTCTGTATGCGTCATCCTCCTGCTTGGTACCTTGTTCAACTCGTTCAACATGAAATGGGTCTACATATCCACCGTGATCCTCTTCGAGGCTGGCTCAGCCCTTTGCGGCGGCACGCCAAACATGGCAGCTCTGATTGTCGGACGTGTCATCGCCGGCGCTGGCGGTAGTGGCATCTATCTGGGGTCTTTGAATTACTTCACAGTCATGACAGTGGAGAAGGAGCGCGGCTTCTACCTGTCATTAGTGGGAGTCTTTTGGGGCCTGGGAGCTATTCTGGGACCCGTCATTGGCGGTGCCTTTTCCGTGTCCTCGGCAACATGGCGCTGGGCTTTCTACATCAACCTTGTCATCGGCGCGATATCCGCTCCAGCCTTCCTCTTGTATCTCCCGGCTATCCATCCCATGCCAGGAGTCAGTGTGCGCTCTCGTGTAGCCGCTATCGACGTTGTTGGCTTCATCCTCGGCGCCGGAATGTGGGTCAGCTTCCTCATGGCCTTTACCATGGCCGGCGGTCAGTGGCCTTGGAACGATGGGCGCACCATTGCGACATTCGTCGTGTTTGGCGTAGTGCTCGTGCTTTACGCCTCACAGCAATACTTTTCTATTCTCACCACGCCTGAACGTCGCGCTTTTCCAGTCCATCTGCTGCGCGATCACACACAGGTGCTCCTGTATATTGTCACGGCAGCTGGAACCACGACACTTTACGTCGTAGTCTACTACATACCCCTCTTCTTCCAGTTCGTTAGGGACGACGAAGCCCTCATGGCCGCGGTGCGCTTACTTCCATTTGTTGTCATCGGCGTCACAGTCAACCTTGTTTCGGGGTCCCTTTTACATCTCATCAAGCTCTACATGGTTCTCTACATTATTGCCAGCATCTTTCTGATCGCGGGTGGCGGACCTCTAATGGTCTATCTTGACCCCAGCTCGTCAGCAGGTACTATCTATGGCTTGACTATCCTCGCCGCTGTCGGTACCGGCCTATCGATGGTTACTGGCTACACCGTTGCGACTCTGACCCTCGAGCCCCAGGACATTGGGCCTGGCCTCAAATTGCAAAATGTTGCACAGATTGGCGGCCAAGTGATTGCGCTCGCTGTAGCCGGTCAGATCTACCAGTCTACCGCTATCAAGGAGCTTCGAACAGCTCTTGCCGGCAATAACTTTTCAGAACAACAAATTCGGGGTGCGGTAGCAGGCTCGCAAAAGGCCTTGTTGAAAGAGTTGCGTGGAGAACTGCGCGACAAGGCGATTGAAGCTATCACACATGCGATGCAGATGACGTTTGTGATGATCCCCATAGCAGGAGCTGTTATGTTGATGGCAGCGCTGTGCATGAAGAGAGAGAAGCTGTTCGGAAGAGCTGTTGCGGTAGGCGCTTAGGAAGAAGTGAGGCAGACGGTCTGGCGCAGCGTTTCTGCTGCAAGTATATCCCAAGACTGGACTTGTGAGGGAAAGGAGGAAACAGACGTAATATGTAGAAACTATTTCTCAAGTTAGATAGACAAGGTAGACTGTTGTTTAATCAGCAAAGTAATGCATACGTGCAACAATTGCCCGATCTAAACGGATATATGTAAGTGATTACCCCTTATTAGGCTACACTTCGTCTCACTATCATGTACCGCTTTTTGCCTTTTTTTCAGCATAGTGAGCTATCACCGCACTTGCCTCAATAGCCCGTCGCGGTTCTGGATATTTGATGCTGAGGGAAGTTGTTTGGTTCGAGCGGCCAGCTGATGCCGCAGAATGGCAGCTGATACCCTACTCATCAGCTGCCCTGTCACAGTGCGTTCCTGGAAATTTCCTGCTGTGCTATAGCCTAGAAACTTGCAGCTGTTCTATCGCTGCCTACTATAATTGCAGCTTCAGCTGCATATTGAAATCAGTCACGTGTTGGAATTCGGTCACGTGATGCATCTCGCACAGGGGCTCTCACACTGCAAGAGAGGATCAATATAATCAACGCTAGTTAGCTGTAGGAAGCTCTGCTAAGATAGGAGGAGTCTTTATCTTGGGTTAATCAGCCTCGTCACATAGCGCACGCCAGAACAGCCAGAATAGCTGTGGCAACGGGCAGAACGGGCAGAATAATAGCTAAGCTGCACCCCTTTCTAACACTTTTACGTGCTGTTGAGATGTTCATTAGCCATGCACAATGTATGCGTTTTTTACGGTAGCAATTCGCGTTATTGTGCCCCTTGTTATGCATGACTCTTGCCTTAGCCGTGGCTAAGATTAGGTGCCTTATACCCACTTAGGTTAGTGGCCACTGTTACTTGGACGCGCTCTCGACATTTTAGAGGCGTGTTTCGCAGACTTTAGCTATGCTCGTGTTGATGACTAAGGGCAACTAGGCCTAAGCGTAGGCTGTTTGCCATAAGATAGGCAAAGGCTTTGTGAGATACGTTTCTAGTACGCTGCTACTCCAAAGTATTTTATTATACTTACGCGTCAAACAAATGGCTCGTTCGACATGTTCCAGCCAGGTGCTAAGGTTGTTATCACGGCGTTACTTTGCGTTTCGGTCCACAATAATTTAACGTGATGTATCGGATTTATCGCCCCTAATTAGTAAAAGCCTCGTGCAGGGTATTGGGATAGGCAAAGCCTAGCATCGGCCCGCAATGAAATACGAAGGAGCTTGTATTTAGTGAAGAATTTGTAGTCTACGCGCTTTCTAACTACCAGATGCAACACAGCACCACTTTTATCATAGCTGTAGTGCTGAACAGAACAAACATAGTTGCAGCGTTCTATGCTTCTCCAGAGCTTAGTAGGTACTATAGCTAACCTTGTTACAAGAGCGCATGGATTAAGTACTACTCACGAAATTCAAGCTCGTTCGTATCTACGGTGCTTACTTACTAGGTAGTGCCGAGATATGTTAATTACAAAGTAGGTCATGCGATAACTATTCCTAAAAGAATGTGATTATTTCCTCTAGACTAGGTACCACCTTGTAGTTTGACATTCATAACTTTCACCTACTAAGGCCATATCCTTTCATAGCGGTGTATCTGTAACACGAATATTTAGGAATATAAAACCACCTATTCACTAACTAAATTCACTCTAATCTGTTCTTCTTACAACCTTGTACGTGTCCTACTTTCAATGTTAGCGCTTCCTAGTGCTGACACTCTTGCATATTACAATGCATGGTCTAAAGGATAGATATAAAGGGATCGCTGCCTACATTCTCCAAGACAAAATACGTACCTTAACGACCCTCTCATAAGCTTAAATCTCGTTTTGTAGTAGACGCTCATATTATAATTCTAAAATGAAGCTCACTCTCCTCGCACTCTTCTCATATGCTCCACTTGCGATCTACGCTTTCACTGGCGGAATTTATAACACATGGGATGACTGTACTAAGAATTGTGGAACAGCAGTAAGATCTATACAATATCCTAATCGTTGTTAGAGAGTGTTAACTAATGCACGTCTATAGTGCGCTGGTTATAAATATAAATATGGTCACTGCGCTACAGATTATAACACATTGTAAGTATTAAATCATCACCTTTCTGAGTATATTACTGGGACAAAACTAATTGATTACTAGGACATATTGCGATTGCGAAAATTGGAATTAGTTGCAGATAAGGACAAGGGATTTCTCTGAATAGGAATTCAGAATTGCTTCGAGATAGCTATTCGTGATAGCATGTTGATGTCTGATATTAGCACCTCAAGCAATAGCTATCAGTGATGCTTCAATCATATTACACTTCCTGTGGCTCACTCTTATTTGTTCTACCAATGATTTCAACGCACCAACGCAGCGGTTTTGAAAACGGAGTATAGTACATATTAGTCAACTCTTACTAGGTTTTCCCTTTCTTGGAAAACACGTTGTTATTTCTCAATTGTTCAAAATTGATTATCTCAACATTACTTACTACCCAAGCAATTCAAACCGACCTAATACGCGTCTAGCACTTACACATGGAAGTACTACCTGTCTTGGTATAAACCAGGGCTAAGGAGATATAGCCGAACCCCGAGGTAGAGGTAAGACTTAGGTTAGAATCAACAGCTTTAAAGCACACTAATAGGGCGCCCCTCACACACACACCAACTTTTAAGCAGAAATCTTTCATCAAAACTCGTCAATTTTCTATCAGATATAGGGGTAACACGTCGCGAGAAACCGATTTACGCCACCTCTAATGTGTGCAGCCCTCTCGTTGAGGTGCTAGAGGGGGTATTGTCGGTATTCTTGCGACGTGTTCGAAATGCGAAAATCTTCGAGAACGCACAGACCGCCCCAATGACTAATAGGGAGACTACTAAACGAAACCAAAAACAATTAAAAACACCAAATAAAACAACAAAAATCAAAAAATCC